ATGTCACAGTGTTATTTTGCTCTCCTTAATGTATGTTATTATATATTTTGAATTCTATTCCTTTGACACCTATTTGTCGAATAACCTACTCTCTTACGATGCATATGTATTAATGTTATCTACTGAGTATTCATTTAACCCCATCCATGGCAAAGATTTTTAAGTATTTCTAGACAAATTGATATTAATATTTCGTTGCATTAAGAAATATTTTATTGTTTTGTTGAAAATTATGAGCATGCTGTACTTTCTTACAAACTAATTTTAAGTATTTTGAGGGGATGGGGTGGGGTGGGGAGGTTTTCATCAAAATTTAGCATTTTTACCTAGTTACCCATGTATTGATTTCTATAATGTCAAAATCGCTCAGATAGTGCGCAAAGATTAACTTAAGCTAGCAAAAAAACTGGTAGAACCAATTGAAAAAAATGTATAATTATTAATATTTTATCGTAATGGGTTTCTCATTCGAAAGGTGCAAGGTTTATTCTGATATTTGCAGTATTAACTAAGGTACTACTATTCAAATTGACATTTATCAATGCGAAATTTAATCATTATGCTCTATGTTGTATATTGTTTACTTAATTAATTGTATTATTCTGTTTTTTTTTTTAATTGTCACTATTCTCTACATCTTTGTACTTATTCTAAGTCGTTAATGAACATATGAATCTTCTTGAAATAAAATGCACTGAGTTTAAAACAATTCCGTGCAATGTTATTTATTGCATTTTCCAGTGCTCTTTATTATTAAAATATGATTGAAGAGAGAGAGAGAGAGAGAGAGAGAGAGAGAGAGAGAGAGAGAGAGAGAGAGAGAGAGAGAGAGAGAGTTAAATGAATCAGTTAACGTATTTCATGTATAAGGTACAACTGAGATAAGTTAAGATTCGTTATTTCTTAAGGCATTAGGATTTAGTGTTACATAAATAATTGTTTATGCCTCATCTATATATTTTGTGTAGTCGCCCGCGTGGCACAGCTAGTGGTTAGAGCATCTGCTCAAAATTCGCGAAGGAGTCGCAGGTTCGAATCCCACTGTGGGACGTGGAGACCGTTCCTTCGGATGAGACCATATAAACCGAGGTCCCGTGTTGCAGTAGATGCTGGCACGAAAAAGATCCCTCCCTGCTCAATGGCCCTGAGTGCCGAGTATAGAACAACATTTGCAGCTCTCCATCGGCAAGTGGTGGCGTCTCCATATGAGTGAAAAATTTTCGAGAGAGCTAAGGACGTTAAACAACATACAATAACATGTATTTATTGTGTATGCTAAATTATATACAATTGTTAATAATCCTTTGAGAATTTCAAACAAATAATTGAATATCACAAAAGTGGCAAAATGCCAAATTTGTACAAATTTTTATTCATTGGAGGGGATAAGATAAGGTGTTCAGTTGTTGAGGGGATTATAGAAAATAAAATAATTAAGCACCCATATTTAAGTCAAACTGCTTAAACATCATGTTTTTATTCTCAATTAAATTAAAATATTTCAAAGTATTTGAAATAAGTTTCTTGCTTTTTCCTGGTTTTCCGCACCTTTTTTCAAAACGCAACTGATTTTAAATATGTGAGTCTATCCCGATAAGTTTAGATCAGGTTTTGGCTACAACTGATTTATGGACTTTCGATTTTGAATACTGTTCGTTATCTCTATCTTTCATTTTTCTGCAAATAACGAGCTTATTACTAGTAACCAAGTTCCGGATCATTAAACATATACATTTACAGATGAATTCAATAACAAGTGAACATTTAACAGGCGATTGAAAATTTCAAAAATTTGACAATAAGTCTAAGTCTATTTCATGATCTTCAGACAGGATTTCACTTATCGATTGGGATATCGACATTTCAAGGTTCGTAGGTAACACTCCTGGAAAGTCAATGCTTTTCAGAAAAAAAAAAATCAATAAAACATCAGCAAATACGACTTCAGGATTGTTTTATTTTGAATTCTTGAAGACAGTTCCATATAACAACAAAACATTTATAAGCTACACTTAAAACGAAAATTAGCACAACAAATACCAGAGCAAGAACGTTAAAAATAAACACATAGATTACATAAATCATAGTCATAAGAGATAAAAATTATATAAATACTGCATGTAGTTGATAAAACATTCAAAATTCTCACCCCAAGAAAGTTTATTTCAATTTTCAATCTAGGCTGCAACTCTGTTGACAACGGTTTCTTTTGCGTGAAAATGTTCGATGTAAACTTCAACTACATGCTGTCATGTACTGAAAATTTTTAACAAATAAATTTACAGCTGAACCGTGTGCGCATAAATTCCTCATAGTCCATTTATCCGTCACCAAGCAATGTTAAATGTTGATATACAGCAGGACATGGTTCCATCATTCAGAGGGTATTTCTTTTTTTTTCTTTTTTTTTTTTAAAAAAGATCCTCAATGCATCAGATTCAATTTATATAAATGAAAGTATAAAATAACATTAAAATGCCTTCACATCAACCTTCAAAATAAAAAGCAAATAAAGTTCTTTTTTACTATTATTATTAACAAGTTTGTAAATGAAAACTGTGAACGAATACTACTGTTAGCGAATTTTCTTCTTTTTGAGAATAGTCTTGAAGCTTGGAGCGAAAAAAAGAACTAGATAAAATTGTTTACGCTATTATTAAATAAAATAAATAAAACAAATAATTGATGAAATGCTAAAGTAGACAAGCCTAGTGTGTTTGTATAATTTAAAACATCAAGTATTGTATAAATAAAGGAATATGAATGGACAAAAAATAAAATATCAATATCACAAGCAAAGTTGTAGACATTGAACGGACATGACGGAGCCTAGGTTCTCTTTCTGTTAAAGACAATATTTTTTTCTAACATGAAATAAAGTATCTGCTGAAGAAAGGGAGGTCCCCAATACATACCGCAAAAACTAATTCGCTCCAGTTTTTCATACTTTCAGATAATATATTGAAATACTTGATACTACTGAAGACTGTATATCCCAGTCAAAGCAAAAGAAAATAAATATAATTTGAGAAAGCTTTATAATTTTTCTGCATCCCGCTTTTAGACTCTTAAGTGGTCATACAAGACAGGATACCAGGACCATATGAATTTTTGCAGAATGGAAAAATTAGAAAAATGAAAACATAAACCAGAGATTTTCGTGAAGGGTCATCATTATACATGTATGAACTTACTGACTTGGTAAAAAGTACCCGCAAAACTAAAGAATCTACAGTAATCGGGTACAGGTACAAAGCATGACTGTTCATTTATCAAGTAAAAGGATACGTTCTATTGATACATGTATGATGTGTATGCAGAGCACACACGTAGATAGCACATCTGCTACATGTAAAATACACTGTTCTTAACAAACTATTATTTTTTTAACTTAAGACAAATTTGTATCCGGATAATACAATTTGTTAGAAAGCGAGGAAAATTGTTGATTTGAATGATAAGCAGTTATTGATGGTTGATATATATACTACACCAGATAAAAATAATATTTAAATGACACACAATTTGTAATAAGAATTCAAAAATCCACAGCGGTTAGCAATGTACAAAATGTACTAAGCGTATAGCTAATATAAATAAAGGTACAAAATAATTCAGAAAATCCTTCAGAAGGTGTCTCATTTCTTTCTTCGTCCAACCCACCCTCCGCCTATAACAAAATAAAAAGAATAAAAAGATGCAAATTTCTATTGGAATTCCTGTTAATTCAGATTGCTTTGTAATACCTCGCGCTTTAATTTCTGCAATGTGTGGCATTGTATACTCCACGTATTTGAACATGCTTCAATAAGGTAATTAAGTGGAAAGAGGCACGCTAGCTGAACATCAAAGAAAAGAGACAAGTCCTAAATATTTTGTTCTCTTCAAAGGAATGCATGTATGAGTAATTTTCCTTTTTATCAATGTCATTATGAATTCTTTTTAAAAAGACAAAACTGACATAATGAAAGAAATGATTTTAAATGCCCTCCACCCCTCCCAAAAAAGAGGAGAAAATCTTGGTCATTGTGGTAATTATGTACTAATTTTTTTTATGAAGAGCATAACCAGAAATGGTGATTATATTTTTTCTCAAATTTGATGGATATTGTTTAATTGTCTTAGGGACCATTTACTACATTTTTCGATAACAATAAGATACTCTTTTTAGGACGACACGATGATTATGTACAATAGTAGTGCTGCTGTAGTAGCAAGCAGACGTGTAATTTTACGCACTGTTTTTCATACGCAAGACCAGAGATTATGTTATGCATTTTTACTGAAACCATTATAGTATGTGTCCTTTTCATGTTAAAAATTCTCTTAAACATTTAGGCTTTGTGTGATTGGGAAAAAAAATCATATTCTTTTTTTTTATTATTTTGGAAATATTCATTTCAAAAAGGAACCAATTTTTTTTATCTTTATCTCAAGGAAAAGGTTTTTATTATTTTTTATTCATGCAAAATGAAAAAAAAAAATATTGAATCAAATCAAATAATAAAAGAATCTTATTTTTTTTCCTCAATGATTAAAAACATTTTTTTCAAAATAAAATAAATGTCGAAAAATTACCATTACACGGATTAGTATTACAGGAAGACGTTTCAGTTTTGGATCCAATGCAAAACGCCCCTCCATACATTGGGTAAGGGTTGTTACAGTCTCTTCTTCTTGATTTTTCACCACCATTACAGTTCTTTGAGCATGAAGACCAATTTTCCCAGGGACCCCATCCACCATTTACTGACAATATTATAAAAACACCAAACTGACAACTTGCTTTAAGAATAATTAGATTATTGTCTTAATTTCAGGGGAAATTCCATTTAGAGTTGGTAAGCCATTGCTCACCAGATAAATATATTTCTTTAGAAACAATTGAGAAAAAGTCAAATATGCAAATGGTTAATAGAAATTACACCTACCCCAAAATGTGAAAGAATATAACAAAACTGTAGCATTGAGAAATAATTACTTACTAGTCAAAATCACTATCAATGGTCCATACCTGGGCGCTCACATCTGTAGTATAAAGGTGTCCATTTTCCCCCTGGTGGACAAAAAATAGTATTCTTAGAGCCCACACCCGTATACCCAGGGATACAACCATAAGAAGCTGATATGGGAGAATTAGTCCGACTCGTCACAATGCCGTTTTTCAATGTGAGAAGAGGTTCGGAACAATCTGAAGGGTTATAAAAAATGCATGTATGCATAAATACGAAATATTTCTACCACATTTAGACATGATATGATGTTAAGAAACACAAGTCATGAAATTTCATAGTTGTCCGCATCTACCTTTACCCGCGAATATAGAATGTCGCAAACCATTTATTTTGCTTTTGTACTGGTAAGGAATGTTTCCTCGGATTCAAAAATTTAACGTCGCTGCGAACTAATTGCAAACTTACGAATCGCGAATAAAAGATGGTGTGAATAATAGTTGATATACAGTTTAACGAAAAAACAATTGCGAAAAAGAGAAACCTATGTACATCGTTATCCTTTATTTGGTCGTCCGCTTGACACAGTGGTTAGAGCGTATGCTGTGTAAAGATATTACCTTACGTTGCAGGTATGAGTCCACTTGGGGACATGGAGACCTCTCGAGAAATTTCCAATCCTTTGGAATCGCCACCACTTTCAGGTGGAGTTCTGCAAATTTGTACCTATACTCGGCACACACAGGCATTGAGCAGTGGGGGATTTTGTTTTGTACAAGCACCTACTGCGACAAATGACTTCGGTGTATTCGAAGGACCCGTCTACACGTCCCTTGGTGGGAGTCGAACCCGCGATGTAAGGATCAACTGCATACCCCGCCACTCTAGGTAAAACGCTTTGACCACTGTACTTCGCAGGTTCAATTTTATAAAGTAAAATAGAAATATATAATAAGACAATACAATCGGGGAAAAAATGCAACCTTGGTGATACAAAATATGTTATTTATAGAAATTTAATTGATCAAAGTTATCTTAATTATATTACTCGTTACTGATAATATGCGGACTTTAAGGTAAGAAACTAGACATTTTCATATACATGTATAACCAAGTTTGTGAAAACTAAAATAACAGCTTTCAAGGAAATATAATTTATGACTTACCAGTTGCAATACATACATCTTTTCCAGTGGAGGTATGTAAACACGATGAATAATTGTTGCATACAATTACACCACATATCTTTTCAGTTTGATGAGCCTACAGATTAAATAGAACTGGATAACATTTTGTGATTCGTGAAAAATGTCTTCGTTTATTTAATATCAGAGCTGTTTCAAATTATTTAAAGAGTGCGTTTGCACAATTGACTATGGGCCCGAGTTTTAATGTGTTTTTCCTTCAAAATCGGGAAATTGCCAGTAGAAACAGTTACGATGGTAAATCAGACTCGCAGAGGAAAGAATGTTAACAAGAAACTTGTTCATAGATGGTTTCAGAGATTTTGGGCGGGCCATGGGTAATTAAATTATCAGTTGAAGACAGAAAGTCCGAGAGATAGGAGGTTCGGTGGAAACATTCAATGGCGTCGACGTTGTCAAAAAAGAGATTCATGTCACGCGGATTGAGTGAGACACTTTTTAGTTTCAAATTGTCTTATGGTATTGTTCAAAAAGTTTTCATTGATGAACTTATAAATAAAGTGTACAATAATTCTTAAAGAAAATAAAATATGTGAATGTGTCTGTGAATATCAGTTTTTTTTTTTAATAAAACGATGGGGAGGCGTTTTTAAATGTGTGTGACGGCAAGTATCCGTCATATGAAGTTATTTGGGTGCGGCGACAATCATAATCGCACTTTGTATATAATTCGATATTTTGAAAAGTATAAATCATTTAAATTTGAATTTTTCAGGACTGATTTAAAATAAATGTAGCTTTCATCATGTATAATTTTGTTAATTTGCGTCGACTAGGAGAATTTTTTTCGAAGTTGTGACATTACATTTGGATCAACCCTCGTATGTCTTGAAGAATCACTCAAAATTGATAGCAATTTACAACATTTTAATATGAAATTTTGAAGACCATACAAGTAAAGATTTTTTTATATTATGTGTGACATTTTGTCCGATTATGTTGTCAAATATTTTTTTCTGTGCAACAAGTCAGCGTAATTTTTAACGGTCATTGTAGTATTAATTTTTGAATGAAATAATTTCAAACAATTTCCAAATTTTCTTTAAATTTTAAGTTGATACATGTATAAATGTATTTCTAGCCATGCAATTTTAAAATATCAACGTGTAAATTAACTGAACAAATGTACATATATCTCATTTCATAACAAAAGTGCCCTTAGATTTTAATTGAATTTCACCCATTGTTTTACTAAATGAAAACCGTTCACGGTAGCTCAGTCGGTAGAGCGGTCGCTCCGTGATCGGGAGGTCGTGAGTTCGTATCTCGGCCGCGACTGACCTAGTCGTTAAAATGGGTATCAACTGTTCCTTCGCCATGCGCTCGGCACTTTGAAGTGCAAGTTGCAGGTCCTTCGGATGAGACCTTAAAAACCGAGGCCTCGTGTCAGCGGCAGGCGTTGGCACGATAAAGAGACCTTATTGCTCAATGGCCCTGAGTGCCGAGTAAAGGTCAAAATTTGAAGCCCTTCACCGGCATATGGTGACGTCTCCATATGAGTGAAAAATTCTCGAGAGGGAAGTTAAACAATCAACAATCAATCAATCAATCAATCATTACTTAATGAAATATACATGATTTTCCATAGATATGTAACCTTTACTTAGATTTTTAAAAAAAGCAGTTTGATTACATTTCCTTATCTTAAGGGATTGGAATGATGCAACTTGAAACGAATAGTTTCAGGTTGCTTGAAAATGCACTTACAATGTCTGGCAACTCCTTGTGAATATAATCCCAGTCATCTAAGAGGGCTTCATTGTTGTTCTTTTTTCGATTAATTAGCTGATATATAAACTCATGCCGATGATAATTTGTAGAAAGACAATCAGCAAGACTTTTACACTGACTCAAACAGGTTTCCAGGCTTATATTGGATAGAACTTTAATAGGGGTGGTCGAAAGTTTCTTTCCAATTATGTAATCAAAGCATGGTTGTAAATCACAACTGACCGTTTTTAGATTGATAATGAAAGACATGGTGAAGATGAAACAGACAAACCATATTGTATCCATTCCTGTTAGTAAATAAGATCTTTTATACAAGTGTTACTTACACGGGTTTGTAAGGCATTGATCGATTCTTTCTGTAAAACGCAATTCACTGCATGAAAGAAATTTTTATGTTGGAAAAACGTCCTTTATGCTTATTAATAAAAGAAGGTTTGTCTTATTCTGGTATGAAATGTTGTTTTGAACTCTTAGTAAAGAAAAAAGATATTAATTAAAAAGAATCTTCCCATTTTTCACCTAAGTTTAAAAAAATTTAATTTTGGAAAACACGTCCTTTATGCATTATTTATTAAAGAAGAGTTGTCTTTTTTCTGGTATGAAATGTTTTGAACACTTGTTAAAGTAAAAGATACTAAGTAAAAAGAATGGTTCCATTTTCAATATTAATATATAATGCCAATCTGCTTAATATACAGGAAACAAACTATGTCTTCTTGCATTGTTTCATGCACGAGGAAATATTGGTTGCAATCCAGTTGCAAATTAGAAATAACAAGTTCAATTCTATTCTTGTTAACAAATTCAGTATATTACATAATCAAAACACAAAACACTGTTTTGCGTCTTTTTAAAGACTACTTTGTGCCATTCTGTAATTTTATAGTGATTTTAATAATTATAGATTGAACAAATTTTAGAAACTGACCATATTTAAAACACTATAACTTCCAAACCCTGTTTGTTCGTTTTCCCAGAATGTAACATACACTTTTAAAAATGATTCAACGATAATAGTCTATACATGCTCAAACATTTGTGTTCCCTGCGTGAAAGTATTTTACCTAAGGATAAGTTCAACATATAATAATGTGAAATACATGTAATAATATAAATATGTCAGCATGCAACATAAGTAAGCTGACATTCAAGATAAATATTATCGACTAGAACTTTGGAATTAGATGCATGCGACATCCTTCATGCTAGAAGCAACTTATTTATTTAGAAACATTTTTTTTCTGTAACATCAATCTATTTGTCAGAAGATGAAAGTGGTTTAAACCGATTGTAATCAGGTATGTTTCTGAATATCGAATAAGTTGGAAGATTAAAACACCTTATGCAAGTGAAAGCGTAATATAATTTCACAAAAACGTAAATTTGTGGTGAAAGATATCTTTATGTCATATACATGTACCTTGTCATAGGATTTAGAGATTTGTTGGTCTAAAATTATCGTTTAAGGTCGATAAAACATCCAAGAAATGATATGGCAGACTCTTGCTGGTTATGAAATGGTTATCTTATTATATAACAATAATGAAACATGATTTTTTCATTAGCCACTTAGAGGTTATCAGTACATGTACTACAGGGGCTCTGTTTCATTGCAATAGTTAAATAGCAACACAAAATGTAATAAACTAGGATTTTCATATTTTGCGCTTTTACATTCTGCGGTGACAACGCAGAATGTAATGTTAAATAAAAGTGAAATGTAATAACATTTTTTTTAGATTATTACATTTTGCATGAATGCATTTTCCAATGGGAATTACGCAAAATATAACAACGTACTTTTTCTTAATTTTTGTGTTATTGTCGGGAAAACTCACGTTACACATACATTGTACAAAACAGTTAGACAAAATTATGGCAATAAAGCAGACGATACGAATCAAATCGATACTGTTAAATCACAAATTTTCGATGGGGTGTAATTTTCGTTGTTTTAGATAGATTTCGTTGTTTTCGAGACTACGAGACCAACCAATTCATGACCAGGTAAAATATTACATATATAAGTACTCATTAATTCTTGATCCACGAAATCAAATCCCCACGAACCAAGAGATTTTCCTCAAACCTCGACAATTTGACCCCACAAAAATATGTGATTTTACAGTATTACTAAATCGGAATGTGTTTATTTTACTACTGTGTTTCTGACATTTTCATTGAATACTTATTCAACATTAAGCTAACTTTGATTGGTATCGATTGACCATGGATCCATTAAAAGCTCTTGATATGCATAGTCGGTATGTGTACATTAGCAAATTAAAAGTGCATTGTTATTGTCTGGCGAGGAGAGGCAGGGATGGAGTCGGCCCTGGATGTTGACTCCGAATGTTTATTATTGTATTTCTATGCACATGCAGAAATTACCCCTTCTATAATTGAAGAGAAAGACAAATAGAGAGAGACAGGAATAGAAAGAGAATTTTATTTTGACTGATCTGCAGTGAACGTGACGCGGATTTGTAAAACAGTATGGAATGATACTTGTCAAAAACCAATTACCGCCATATATATTTTACCTGCAGTAAAAATGAATAGATTTCATAAAATCCATTACAGACCCTGAGACGTGCTACTACCCCAAAAAAGCGTGTGACTTTCGTGCGCTTTCCGTTTCGTGCAAACCGTGTAGCGTTTCGTGTAAACCGTGTAGCGTTTCGTGCAAACCGTGTAACGTTTCGTGTAAACCGTGCAGCGTTTCGTGTATGCCCCAAAGCGTTTCGTGCAAAGCGTGTAGCGAGCGTGCGAAAAGCGTGCGAGAAACGTGCGACTTTCGTGTAAGAACCGTGTGAGAAACGTGCGACTTTCGTGCAAGAATCGTGTAAGATTCATTCGGAAGTCATTTCATTTTAAATATGGCTTTCGATGGGTCAGGATGTAAAATTCTATTAGTCTTTTATTATTGAATTAGTTATGCTTGTGATATTATAGGAGTAAAAACAAAAAAAAAATGGAAAAACAAAATGAAATTAAACGGAAATGTATAATTTATATCTGTTTGATTTCCAACTATGTACAACAATTTTAAGGGCATTGAATTCAATATACCATCAACGTGATCATGGCTTCTTAAATTTTTTTTCTCAAAGAAAGAAAGAAATATACCGGTATTATTTTTTTTTTATTTAAAGCAAAATATATCAGGACTTCGCTGTTGTCTTTACATTTGAAACGATGTGTCATTTAATACTTTTTAATACATAAAACTTGTTGCTCATTATTTTCAAATAAATGGATTTTATAATTTTAATACACATGCACTGACGACCACATCTTTTTAAACGAAGGGGGGAGGGGGGGGGGGTTAAGTTAAATTACTAGTACAGTCTTTCATTTCTTGTTGTAACTTTCAATCTAATGTTAGTTTCAGCAAACGCTTAATTTTCTATTCTTTTTTAAATTCTTTGTTAAATGTGTGCGCAGATACACCCCTTCAAATTTTATTGGAATCTTCTTTCCGCGTTTCAACTGTGATCAAGGTCATTTACAACAGCGATCACGGGCTCCGAGTGCATGGCACATGAAAACCGGTTTTGCTATATGTACATGTTGAGTTCACAGCTTAACGACACCTGAAAATTACGACTGGATTTTATTTTTTTTTAAAATAAAATGTTCCTAAAAATATTAAATGGGTACAACTTATAAATCAGCGCATTTCATCTTTTATTTGTACATCCGAATTTCTAGCCGTAAACAGTAAAATAAACAGAACTGATTTGGTAGTCTTTTCATGAATATCATGTAAGAAAAGCTTAGAAGTAAATCATGAATAATTGCATATTATTTGTTTTATAAATCACGTACTTTTTATTTCATCTAAGATATTTCATTTTCTTGTAATATACCTGAATGCCGGTGTAAAGATCGATCTATATTGTATGTACAATGTATAGTCAGATGCCGTGAGTATTAATAAATGTACACATATATACATACGTTTAGTCCTGTTTTGAAATGAAGGAATTTACAGTATGATGGGTATACTGATGTTATTTGATAAGCTTTATGTGAAAAGAGAAAGAAATAGAATAGATTACATTACCCCCCCCCCTTTACGGTTTCCCTCCTATTGAAAATGGTTGCGTAAAATAAAAAAAAAATCTTTAAAATTAATGTATCAATAATGGTAAGTAGAGTATATAGGCAAATTTTATAACTAATTTACAATCAAAATCACGAAAAATACATGTAATCAGCCTACGGAAATCAAACTCAATATTATTAAAAATCAATGAGTTTATATTCCTGCGGTAAGAAATCGAATTTGTGTTTAATTTATTAAATTATACTCGTAAGATTATTACATTGAAATGAATGACTAATACCTGTATAAAAATTGTATTTTATTAAACAGTCATTCATGATATCGGCATTTCATTTTTAAACAGTTGTATAAATAAATAAATAAATTCGAACTGACAATTATTTATCAATTAATTACAACTGTCAGAGTATTAAATATTTCTATCGGTTTATATACCGGTAATACAAATGTATACTGAAATTTAATTTAAACAGCTGCTTAATGTGGCTTTGTGAAAGATTTCCATTGAATTAATGATAAAACAGTAATAATGCCCGAGATATTCCGAGTAGAAAAATCCAAATCGAGGCCAAAACGTGCGAGAATCGTGCACAAAGCGTGTGAGAAACGTGTACAAAGCGTTTCGTGCAGCCTTTCGTGTAAACCGTGCAGCCTTTCGTGCAACTCGTTTCGTGTAAACCGTGTAGCGTTTCGTGCAAACCGTGTACAGCGTTTCGTGTAAACCGTGCAGCGTTTCGTGCAAACCGTGTAGCGTTCGTGTACCGTTCGTGCAGCGAGCGTGTGGGGTAGTAGCACGTCTCAGGGTCTGTACATTTGTCTATCAAAGGCAACTGTTCAATGAAATCCCACCAACCCTCCAACCCCCGTCCCCTCACACACCTTTCTAATTTGCAATACCTTTGATTTGAATGTAAGAAATTAATTCATCATTTTTTTATATATTAGAATTCTTGAGGACATGACCTACGACTCTTCGCACAATCATATCAGAATTTTCCAGAAGCGTGTTATTTATACCTTTCTGAAACTTACCACAAACAAAAATTGGAATCATTAAATGTGTACACAAAATCTTGCGTGTTGTTATGAATTAAGATACCTTTAGTGGGAAATGACATTGTAGTTTGCAACAAACTATCTTCCTTAAGATACCCCTAACAATGATGTTAATATTTTT